TCCGGCGCGGAACGCCAACTCCAGGGCCTAAAGAGGGAACTCCTGTCAATCAAGAATTTGGTTAAGCATGACGGCTCGAGGCCGGATAATAAAGAGACGCAGCTCATCAGGGAAGTGGAAATGCAGATCAAGGGAGTTGTGTACGAGATTGAGGACACAATTGACGATTGTTTCACTCGTCTGTCCGTTGCTGCCGACACCAAATATATGTTTGGCCACAGCCGAGGTTCCTTTGACCCAGTCGATCTGCCAGGAAAATTCAGGGTGACATAAGGAACCTGAAGCTTTCCATATTCCCCATTGATGAATGATCGAGCAACCTGTTCGTTTGGTTTTTTCTTTAATCCTGTTTTTGTCTCCTTGTTTAATCAGACTCTTCCTTTTGTTTAATCTGATTTTATTTCCGAATTCCTAGAGCATGTTACAGTTGTTTTGTGATCTGTTTTAAATGCAATAAACACTAGACATATGGTTAGAAAAACATCTATACGGACATCTTAAAGACACCATGGTTATATATATAATCTCCGAAGATAAAGGACAAGAGTTTTTGCTGTTAGTTTCCTGCAAGGCTTAGTACGATATATACAATATCAAGATTTAACGGTACTTAATTGTTCATTCTTTGAGTGTATGTGCCCAGAAAAAAATGTTATTTCACAATGTATCAGTTTCTTGTTTTCTGTAGTGTAAGAGTCCCCCTGGTCTGAATTTGATGCATGGCAAGGCCCATGTAATAATCTTCCTCATTATTTGCATAGAAATTCTTTTTAACTAAACAGATACCTTACTCGTGTCATTCACCAACAAACCAACTGCAAATCACGAATTAAAATCGAAAAATGTAAAACACTGAAACCTCAGATACCATGTGAAAAACCAGATGTCACGATTTATGCTTGCTACCATCATTCCTTGAGGAGTGGATGTGAACTCGACATTGATCACTTCTGGTTCCTAATACTTTTCGAGCCCAAGCCTCGGTTGTTGAGCTGCAACCCTGCACCTCTAACATTTCATGCGGCACTCTTTCATCCAAATTGATGTCCTCCAGTTTGTAGCAGTGCCTAATAATAAGGCACTCGAGTGCCGGGAGGCATCCATACCGATC